TGGCCAATCAGAGAACAGAAATTTCGGGTTTTCCGGATCAGAATCCGAACACGTGCGAAAGAAAAAAAGAAAAGAAATCGACCTTGGTGGCTGAATAACGGGAATGAAATTTTACATAAGAAACTCTAGCTTATCGCTGTAGCTCACAATCCTAATGTCCTAATCCTAAACTTTTATTTTACGCACATAGTTTATTTACAAAATTCGGGTTCCTTTTTTGGTTTGTATTACCAAGCAAATAAGTAAATACGTAAAACGGTAGTACTATACGAAAAAAAAAGTTTATTGGATAGAAATGTTACATTGATTGTTAGGTGATCTTCACTAGTTAAATTTTTTTGTCGATGGCTAACATTCCCCATGGTGGAGTTCTTAAAGATGCGCATGTTCGAGATGCTCATAAGAATGAATCTTTACGAATCGAAGCAGAATCTTTGCCCTCTAAAGTATTGACTGATCGTCAATTATGTGATTTGGAACTTATCATGAATGGGGGATTTTCTCCCTTAGAAGGATTTATGAACCAAGATGATTATTTAAGGTTAGTTATTAAATTTCGGATAGAGATATTAAATGGTCTTAAATTTTTAAATGTAATCTTAAGCCATGCAAATTTTTCGTTATCGGCCAATGTTTATTATAAAAATTTCTCGGATGAATATGCAAATATTTACATAAATTTAATAAAATTTAAAATAAAAACGATTCATTTTAAATTTTTTTTAATTTGTATGGCTTATAATGAATTAATAAATTGCTAATTGAGTTACTTATTGCAATAAGTAATAAAAATTTTTTAAAAAATTTCAGAATTTTAAATCTTAGAGCTTAAAGACTGGTCTCAGACCAAGTTATTAAAATTGAATTATAAACCTTTTTGAAATTAAAACTCTTAAGAACCACTTAACAACTCTAACAACTCTAATCTTGAATAATATATTTTTTATGACACTCAAGTATATTTGTGGTCATTCTTTCTGAATAGAATGAAGAAAAATTCCGGTTTATTAAAAACATTTTATTCTTCCTTTTTTTTTTTGCAATCAGTGTCGTGCACAACCTTCGGCTAAAAAATGGGTATCTATGGTCAATGCCTATCACACTTGATGTCTCTGAAAAAGATATAAAAACACTTGACCTTGCACCAGGCAGACGTTTAGTATTGCGTGATTTTCGAGATGATTCGCCATTAGCTATTTTAACAATTCAAGATATATATCGACCAGATAAAGTTGAAGAAGCAATAAACGTTTTTGGTGATAATGATGAAAAACATCCTGGCGTTAATTATCTTAAATATCAAG